GCTGGTGCACTTTACTGTAATGTTGTTTGAAATAATACTCCCTTAAAGTGCACTAGGGAAACTTTAGTGTGCACCAGCAAGGTCTACAAGGACCAATTAATCTGGAACACCTTAGTGTGCTTTAGAAGTTACAACCCCTGTAGAGTGGATTACTGCTCCATGTAGACAAGCCCTTGGGTGCATGTGCAAATATTATCCAGCTGACTGAGGTACCTGTCATAATCTTAATGGGTGCCCAAAATCCAAGTGCATTTTATATTTATATAATTTAATATAAAGCAGTGTCTGCCTGTGTGTTTTCTTCCAGCTCCTACCTATTGGTGTGAAGGAGTCCCAAAAAAAAAAAAAACCCTACACAAACACCAATTCATTCTGTCTCTTACTAGCACCTGACCTATGAATTACCCATTAGTGATCCCCAGCACCTGGATTAATAACACACCCTGCCCTCTCAAGTACCTGGAGTAATACTGCGCCCAACTCCTAGCACACAAATTATTACAGCCCCTTCCCCCCCTATACCTTAGCACACTGTAGTGTCTTCCCAGTATTGATTTGAAGTGCTGATTCTGCTGGTGCTGGTCTCTGCTCTTCTAGGCCAGTGACCCCCTTATCAACACTGGGAGAAAATTGGCAGCTCTAGGCGAGATTTCTTTGTCCACTAGCCTCCCAGGCTTGGTGGTGTGACAGCAGCAGAGTTTAAAATGTATCAGACAATTCACTGCCAAAGCCATAGGGTTACTATACGTCCAGGTTTTCCCTGCCACGACCTCTTTTTTGAGCTTCCTTTCTCTTTCTGGGCAGATTTTTCAAGTAACAGGAAATGTCTGCTCTGCAAAAACGTGGCTAAGTTGCAGCTCCGAAGGAGCCCTGATTGGTCCACTGACTGATTGGTCCTCCCCTTCATCTGCAACTAATTGGTCCATTCCCCTGCAAGCCATAGCTGAAGGATTCTGCCCACCCAGGCCCCAGCTCCCGGCCCTGACTGACGGCCATCCCTGTGTCCTGGGCTTGCACCTGTCATTGTAACGAGCGAAACTGCTAGGGCACTTCTGGTCAGAAAGGGACCCTGGCGGCTCCACTCAGCACCACTGACCAAGTCATGAAAAGTCCGGTCAGCGGCGCAGCGGGGCTTAGGCAGGCTCCCTGTGGCTCTCAGAAGCAGCAGCATGTCCCCCCTCTGGCTCCTATGCTCAGGGGGAGCCAGGAGGCTCCACACACTGCCCCCGCCACAAGTACCCCCCCCCCCCAGCTCCCTCTCGTCTCTGTGTCCTCTTTTTGGGAACCTAAAATATGGTACCCTTAGAAGGGACTGTTGCATTTTGGGACTTGTCATAGGTTTCACCCCCACTCTGAACTTTAGGGTACAGATGTGGGGACCTGCATGAGAAGCTCTACGCTCAATTACCAGCTTAGATCTGGTCTAGCTGCCACCACCCAAATAGCTTGAGTCACTTGGGAAACTCTGTCTTCCCCTCCCTCCCCCCAAAAAAACCTTTCCCTCCCTGGGTAGCCTTGAGAAACTCCTCCACCAATTCCCTGGTGAACACCATCCAAACTCCTTGGATCTTAAAACAGGGAGAAATTAACCATCCCCCATCCTTTCTCCCACCAACTCCTGGTGGATCCAGATCCACCCCCCAAGGAAAAAATCAATCAGGTTCTTAAAAAAAAAAGGCTTTTAATTAAAGAAAAGAAAGGTAAAAGAAAACTCTCTGGGAGAGATTAGCATACCAGTTACTCTCACAGACAACAGATTCAAAACACAGAGGATGTTCCCCTGGGCAAAAACTTAGTACACAAAAGAATACCCAATTTGATTATTCCGTAATGCCCAAGACAAGTTACAAAAAGAAAATAAACAAAACCTATTTATTCCTTTTCTAATACTCACTACTCTGATAAGAGCTGATTCCTTGATCTTTTCCATTCAGGCCAAAACTGAAACTGACTCAGACAAAGGGAACTTCCCTCCTTCCTTTTGAACCATCTTGTCCTCCCATTGGTTCCTCGGGTCAGGTGTCAGCTAGGCTAGGTGAACTTCTTAACCCTTTACAGGTAAAGAGGCATTAACCCTTAACTATCTGTTTATGACAGGGCTATTGTTGAAAGACGTCTTATGCCAGTACAGATATATTTGCTTTCACACTGGCACTGTGTTGCTATAACTATATTGGCAAAGAACTACTAGAGCTTTGAAAAAGGGAAGAGCTATGACAGCAAAAATGGAGGCTTTTTGCCAAATTAAGTGGGGTCGCATGCCAAGCTGTGCCAGCAGAAGGCAAGTTTTGCTGATAAAACTTTCTAGTGTAGAGCAGGCTGAAGGTTGCAGGACCAAGAAGGAGCTGCTGCCCTTCCCCCTCATTCTGACTGCTCAGTGCTGAGTGCTTTAGGAACTCCCCAGCCCTGTGCTCGCAAGGGGAGAGGAAGAAAGCACAGCCTGCTTTGTGGACTGGCGCTATTCCTTAGCACATGCAGCAGCTCTGATTGTCTGTCCTTCTTCTAGCAGCAGGAGAATGGGGAAGGGAAACCAATTAGACAGATATTTTCCCATAGGCTTTCCACATAGGAGAGTATGAAGACCCAAAAGTCAAGAGTTGCAAAATGTAAGATTCTCCAACAGTATCTAGCCTGCATCCTTCATATACCATATTGCAGTGTTTAAGGATGGATACATAATGCAAAGTCATTATAAGTATTGGTGAGTGCCTTTAATTGTGCAACCTAAATGGAAACAATAACATTCATATGCAATTTTTTTTTAAAGGAGCAACAGTAAAAAGAGACAAAGAAAAACATGGAGTGTTCATGAGTTTACACGATTTTATCAAGTCCGTGTATATTTCATGGCTGTTTTTCTGAAGGGCTGTGCTATATTTATGTAGGACGGTGTTCTGATAACATTGAGCAGGGTGTTGTGTAGCTGTTGACCCCTTGTGCAGATGGCTAACATTGCAAAACACCCACTAACTTGAGTGGAGCCAGAAGTTCACCCTGTGTGCATGGCTGGGATCACCCGAAAAGTATATGTATTGTATGCACATGTTGGATTGTCTGTGTGATATTTATGTCATGGGAATATAAGTATGTGCAAGCAATGGGGAAGAGACTATCTACCTCCTCAGTGCATGTGTGGGTGAGTATGTATCGACAATGCATATGTGCACACAAATGGTAACAGTGTGTATGTGACTCGTTGACGGCAACCAGAGCACGTGGGATGATATGTATTCAGATAGTAGGGTTGCCAATTTTGGTTTGGTGCATTCCTGGACACATGACATAGTCTTTAATTAAAGATTAATCTTTAATTCCTGGAGACTCCAGGACACCACTGGAGGGCTGGCAACCCTGTCAGGTAGGTGTATAAGTTTGAGCAGCACCATGTAAGATGTGGGGAAAGATAGGTGTTTATATATCTAGATTTTTTTAACTGAGTTTCTGAGGAGAGACATTCAGCTAAAGCCTGATAGTGGTCACCATTAAACCTCAGTGTTTATGTGGTAACTGTAGATAATGATACCAAGTTACTGCAGCCATTTCTTAGCCTAAAACCAGGAAAATATGGTCATAGCTCTGTTACTACATTGTAGTACATGTGGGTAAACAGTGGCCCCTATAAATTGTATATGATTTTTTTTATTGTGGCAGAGCATTAGTGATAAAATCAGTACCAATATTTGCTCGTATTCATAACCTCACACAACTTTTCCAGTAATATTCCACTGAGGACTGCTATCAGTTCTCTTCATGGTGGGGGAAAAATTAGCACTGTCTTAGAACTCAAGTCTGAACAAATGCACCCAGAAGATCAAATGGAGGGAGACTCTTATAGTGATAGACTCAAGAGGTCAATCTATTTAGCTTATCAAAGAGATAATGAAGGGGTGACTCATTACAATCTGTCAAGTTTCTGTTCCCTGTAAGGGTGCCTTGCAGAGGGCTTTTTAATCCAGCAAACAGAAACTCAAGGGCTAGAAGTTGAAGCTAGACAAATTCAGACTGGAAATAAGGCATACATTTTTAGCAGTGAGGGTAATTAACCATTGGAACAACTTAGCAAGAGCTGTGGTGAAGTCTCCGTTACTGGACGTTAGGATTGGATACTTTTCTAAAAGACCTGTTCAAAAGGGAATAAATTCAGGAAAGTCCTATTGTCTGTGTTATAGAGCGGGTTAGACTAGAGAGAAAATCTTTAAAATCAAGATTGGATGTTTATCAATGCGGGGGAGTGCTGATTGTTTCAGGGAGTGGAAGTGCTGTTGGTGGGGAAGCAGAGAGGGGAGAGCGGCTGATCCGGGACACCCCAGGACAGGAGCCAGGAGGAATCGCCCAAGGACAACCCGGAGCTGGACCCAGTATCACTGCTGCCCAAAGCTGTATAGGGCCGTAAGTACTGGGGCTGGTGACTTTGCTTTGGGAATAAACAGGGGAAGTTGTAGCTAGTTAAGTGAAGAGGTTGTCATTCTGTGTGGTTTGGCAGAGAGTGGCAGAAGAGGACACCAGAGGGGTTTGTTGGGGAAAATGTATTGGAGTCGAAGATAACCAGGAGCACCCAAGACTCACTGGACTGGAACTTTGCCCAAGACTCCTGAACTCTGAGTGCAGACGCATTGCTCAGTGTCTGTGCTTTCACACTGTGGTACCACTGAGACTGTGGGCCTTGTGTTGAATGCAGTCCTGATTTACTGCTTCGCCTGTCTTTCCCCCTGTTGTTTTTCTCCTTTCATCCCTGTGGAAATAGATATTTCCCTTTCCTATATTCTTCCGGTGTACATGTGTTCACTCTAGGCAAGGCCGGCTCCAGGCACCAGCCTGGCAAGCAGGTGCTTGGGCCGGCCGCTCTGGAGAGGAGCGGCACGTCCAGGTATTCGGCAGCAATTCAGCGGACGGTCCCTCACTCCCGCTGGGAGAAAAGGAGCTCCCGCCGAATTGCCGCCGCAGATCGTGATCGCGGCTTTTTTTTTTTTGGCTGCTTGGGGTGGCCAAAACCCTGGAGCCGGCCCTGACTCTAGGGGGTTTGGAATAGATGCCCCTGGGGTAGAAGGATCTTTCCCTGCTGCATTCCTGTGTGGCCTTTTTCTTGGCCAGAGCAGGGCAGACTCCATCTTGGCCACAAGGGCGCTAAACAAATCTACAGATGTCCTCTGCAAACACTTATTCCCGGCTATCTACTGGGATTATTATTGCTAAAGATTCAAACACACATGCAAACCCTATATATTCTATTTCTTCAGGTGGAATACACAACAGAATATAATTATAAATTACAAGCTCTTTATTTTTGTGTACTATAAAACACATCCGTATAATTAAATCAAGGTTGAAAGTCCTTTGCCTAGGAGATTCATTTAAAACTCTATGATAAAAAGAAGAACCTTGAGAATTCAATATACTGATGTGTAGATAACACCTCAGCACATGTCAGTGAGCAGGTCATTTCCTTTCTGATGCCGATGCAAGAGCTCTCTCTACACTAGAAGCTTTTCCTGTATCTTCTTGCCATATTAGCCCAGATCCTCCAAGGTATTCAGCCATAATGGGAGTGAATGGCCTAAAGACCTTTGAGGATCCGGGCTGCTATCACTTTGATTCTGTTTCCCATCAGTAGAGTCAGGTTGTGAAAATGAGAAGTCGCTGACTAAGGCTGGGAGAGACCTAACTCCTCCCTGGGCTGCTGGTGGGCTCTGCCAAAGTGCCTGGGATGGCCCCACAGTGCTGGGGATGAAGGAAGTCAGGGGGGACTTGGTACTAGAGCCTGAGCAGCAGGGATGGGGGCAAGCTTGGCACATTGCAGAAGCAGGTGCGGGCAGGCTCTTCAAATCTGGGGGACTAGCGTCATTTCACTAACATGGGCAGCGTGACCTCCCTGTAACTAGGGTGTGCATCTCGGAGGCCCTTTGAATCTCTTGACCTCGTGCTGTCTTCACAGACTGATGCGAACGACCGCCCTGTAATCAGGGATCGGGTCTTTGCCCTCTAGTCTCTTGGCACTTGGCCAAATGCAGCCACTGCCCTGAATGAGCACCCTGTAAACAGGTCTCATCTGCTACTATTTCTGGCGCCCCCATGACACTGTGTCCAGAGTTCCGGCCCTTCATACAGCACTTCCAACTTGCCTGGAATTCTGCAGCCTAGTCTCCTGCATTGTACTCACTTCTTGGACTCTTCGAGACCTGACATGCTATTGGTGGTAAGATCCGAAAGGGAGTGTCCGAGGCGGTTTTGGACTAAGTCATTCCAGGCAGTATACCTTGTCACATTGATTTAGGAATACTTGTCAATTAATTCCTTACCCCCCTTCATCATTTAATTCCTCTGGATTTTGTATGGAGGCTGCCTGGTGAAATAATTGTCAAGAGGAAATCTGGAGATTGTGGCTTTAGAGGGGAATGGGCCCAGTAGTTTTCTCACCCAGTGCAGCTTGGGAGGAGGGAGAAATGCTTGTGGAAGTGTCTGAGGACCACAAAGAACTGTCTTGGACCTAAATATCCAGACTGTCTGCAGATCTGGAAAAGAACAGTGTATCAGTAGATTACACTGAGTGCGTGCGGGATGTGGCATTGTCGGTTCTCACTTACACACGCCTTGTGCTCTCTCTCTCTTTTTCAGACATCATGAAGCACAAGTGGAAAAGAAGGATGTGTCAGGAATGCCACACACAGAGGAGAAAAGAAGATGGAGGAAAAGGAAAGGAACTCTGGGCACAGTAACCAACCTGAAATCAGGCTTCAGGTCATGTAATTAGACTGTATGAGAATCTCGAGCCCTTTAATAACTTGAGCAGCGTGACCGCCCAGTAAGCTGGGTCCCGGTCTGTGCTATTGTGTCATTTTGACATTTTGCCCCGTTATCTGGCTATTGAGGGTGACTTCCCTGTAATCAGGGTGCAAGTCACCTCCCCCTGTCTTTGGAGGGGCATTGAGCTCTTTGTTAAACTGAGCAATGTGACCGCCCTGTAACTGGGGTCCGGGTCTCTGCCCTCTTGCTCATTTGGCTTTACGCCGTCCTCTGCCCTATTAGTCAGCGTGACAACCCTGTAATTAGGGTCCATGTCACAAGCCTCTCTAGGATGGGCCATATCGAGCTCTTTGGTACTTTGACAGCATGACCTTCCTGGAATTCAGGTTATGGTCTCTCCTATTTGGCTAATGCCAGCGACCACCCTTTAATCAGGGTACAGGTTGCATCTTGCTTTTGAAATCTGGGGGATTAGAATAATTTCCGTTACGTGGGCCGCTTGACCTCCCTGTAACTAGGGTGTGCGTCTCCGAGGCCCTTTGGGTCTCTTGGCCTCGTGCTGTCTTGGCAGCCTGCTGCGAACGACCTCCCTGTAATCAGGATCAGGTCTTTGCCCTCTAGTCTCTTGGCACTTGGCCAAATGCAGCCACTGCCCTGAATGCGCACCCTCTAAACAGGGTACAGGTCTCATCTGCTACTATTTATGGTGCCCCCATGAGACTGTGTCCAGAGTTCCGGCCCTTCATACAGCGCTTCCAACTTGCCTGGAATTCTGCAGCCTAGTCTCCTGCATTGTACTCACTTCTTGGACTCTTGGAGACCTGACATGCTATTGGTGGTAAGATCCGAAAGGGAGTGTCCGGGGTGGTTTTGGACCGTTGTCGAAAGCGGTTCTCATTTACACACGCCTTGTGCTCCCTCTCTCTGATTCAGGCATCATGAAGCACAAGTGGAGAAGAAGGAAGTGTCAGTACCATGGCATAACTGTGAATCTGAAATGCATGGACCTTAAACACTCAATTTGTATAGAATTATAACTTCCTATTATTAAGAAATCATCATTTCCTACTGGAAGTGCAAAGATGTGACTTAAGGGAAGGTATACATTTGAATCCTCCACTCCCCTCCAATTCTCCCCCCAAAACTCTTCAAATAAAGTTAAGGTTCAGAAAATTAACATTTACTCCAGGTAACGCCTAACTTGTGTATTTCTCACACATTTCTAAAAGGAAGCAAACAAAACTAAATGTTTTGGCAACTGGCAGTTACTCTCCGCACTTCACAACTTTCAAACACCTGCTCTACTTAAACGGTCACACCAACCAAAGTGTACCACACATTCAAAATTAACTTTGCACCTATTGTGTCAGAAGTGAGAGTGGTTTTAGTAGTTGTGTCCATTGGTGGAAGTGGCAGTCGTGGTGTTTTAGTAGTCTTTTACGCTTATTGAATTCAAAGGATGATGATGTGGATGTTTTAGGTAGGTATTTTTCTGTTAAGTCTTGGTATTTGGGTAGAGGTGCAGTATTTTGTGATTATGACTGTTTTTCTGGTATTGGTTTAGTGTGAATTGTTGGCAATTTTAGATGTTTTTGTATCCGTACATTAGTAGATGTATTTAGAGGGCAAAGCTGAGGTTGCCTGTTTGGTGCAATTTAATTGGTGTGAAAGTTAATTTCGGGTAGGTGTTTGAAAGCACTGAGGTTTGAATTTTTAGCTCAACAGGGATGCAGGACCCACCTGGCTACCTCAGTTCTTACTGTCATTCCTAATTCCAAAATCTTGGATGAAGATGACCAGGCAGAATAAAGATATCTCCAGAGACTTTCAAGAGGGTAGCATTTCTGCAGCTTTAGGGGATCCCTTAAACCTTATTGAGCTTTTCAAAGTGTAATAATTGTGGGAAACTTCTACTTCTGCCAATTCCGTGTTGAACAATGACCTGTATTAAAGGACTTACACTGGGTAGTTAATTCTGTTCTGTATTAAGATGATTTTGCTAAAATCGCCGCTTTCTGATGTGTGAAATGAATGATCTAGCTCTGATTATACCTATTTGATAAAAGTGTGATAACGACCCCATGTTAAATGCATGGATTGAACTTTGATTGTCGTATCACATTGCTTTGCTTTCTGTAACTCCTTATTTATGAATGTATTTGTTACTATTTATGTAATTCAATTAATAAAATGTAT